TGGTGATGGTGATGGTGGTGATGGTGGTGGTGATGGTGTTGGTGGTGATGGTGATGGTGGTGATGGTGGTGATGGTGATGGTGATGGTGGTGATGGTGGTGGTGATGGTGATGGTGGTGATGGTGGTGGTGGTGGTGATGGTAGTAGTGGTGATGATGATGATGTCGGTAGTGGCGGTGGTGGTAATGGTAGCTATGATGATGGTGGTGGTAATAGTAGTAATGTGGTGATGTTGGTAATGGTGCTAGTGACAGTGGGGAGAATGGTGATGATGATTATAGTGGTGGTGTGATGTTATTGTTGATGACGATGGCACTGATAGTGGTGATAGTGCTGTTGATGGTGGTGTTGATGGTAGTGGTGTGGTGCTGATAGTGGGTAATGGAGATGCTGTTGGTAGTAGTGGTGGTGATGGTGGGGATGACGATGGCATTGTTGGTGATGATGTTTGGTGGTAGTGAGGATGGTGATGATGGTACTGGTGGTGGCGGCGTGGTGATGGTAATTGTGATAGTAGTGATGGTAATGGTGGTGTTGTTAGTGATACTGATAGTAGTGGTGATGGTAGTGAGAATGGTGATGATGGTCCTGGTGTGGTGTTTGATGGTGGTGATGGTGATAACGTGGAGAGTGATGTAGATGTGGTAGGCCCAAAGCCACATGGGGTGGCCAGGAATAGATTTAGGGTCACGACGCAGACCTATTCAGTTTGTACTTCTGGGAAGCATGTCAGGGAAGGCTGTCAGAGCGTATGGTGCCCGAGCAGGGTTTTGAAGGATGAGTAGGAGTTGCTGAGAAAAGCAGGAGGTGGAGAAGGATGATCCTGGTACCAGGCAGCGGTATGGAACGATTAGGATGTGTGGTGGAGCTCCGGGGTGGTGTGGAGGTGGAATGCAGTGACATCTGTGAAACACTTGGCATCTACTGTGCCCTGCCCCCGCCCCCACATGACTCCCTGAATCCACCTGGCTCTGGGGCAGCACAGGAAATAAGGGCGTTTGCCTCACACTACACACCGTGGGTGTGCATAGGTGTGTGCGAGCAACAGGGAAGTGGCCCTGGGCCCAGCGATTCTGGATTCCTGGGTGTCCTTCGCTGGCCCATGAACTGCCTTCAAGGAGCTCAAGCAGAGAGTCGCAAGGAGGCACACTGAGAAAGAAGTCCCCTCTCGGTGCTCTTGAAGCCTGGTCTATGTAAGGAAAGACCTGGACGTCTCTTCCCCAACTCCCATGAGACCCCTGGATGAACTAGGCTCTGCCGCTCCAGGCCTGCAGGGGAGTACCTGGGACTATGTATTCAGAGCGGGGGAGACTTCCCGACCTGCTCCACTATGCAGAATAAGACTGACGCTCTGAGAGAAGGTGTTCACAGTTGGTACAGTCCAGCCGGGGGCCTACCCACTTGAGCTCCCCCATCCCGGTGTGGAACTGGGGAGCCCTGGAGCCAGCCAAGAGACCTGTGGAAGGTCTGGTGGTAGGGCTCAGAGCACAGCATGGTCAGCACCCCCAACCCCTGCCCGGAGCTGCCCACAACACTCAGAGCTTTGACCTTAATGACTTGGGAGCTGCCGAGACGGAAGATGCGGTCCTTGGGGAGCTTGTGCTCTGGGGCACCCGTGGGATCTGTCTTCTGGTCACCGCTGCTCCAAGGCTGCCTGGGGGTCTCCAATTTTACCTTTAATGCTTCTCTAGCTGGAGGGGAGTTTGAGAATTAGTGATGTCATTATTGGGTGATGGCTGAGGTAAAACCGATGGCCGTGGGGATCAGGTGACACCATTATTGGATGAAGCCTGAGGTGAACCTATGGATTTGGGGTCAGGATGATGTCACTCTGTGAGGGCTGAGGTGAACCTACAGCTGAGGCCTGGTGGGTTTGGGGGTCTGAGGTTGGGGTGGCCCCAGAGCTCACTTTTCTGGTGCATCAGCAGGTGGTAGAGGTGGCCCAATCCTTCCAGACTGAAGTGCTGGGCGGCCCTGTCGGGGTCTTGACATAGTATCCCCAGTGTGCCAACCAGCTGCCCAATCTGTTTGAACTCCTCTGTGGGCTGCAGCAAGAATACAGAGAGACCGCTGATGCAGGTCGTACCCCTGAGACCCCACCCAGCTGAATACACACCCCATTACCGCCAGATCGGATCCCCTCCAATTGTGGGGTGGGGTTGGGACTAGGGGGAGGGGATTTAAGGGGATGCTAAAGCACTCTGTGGTGAAGAGAAATAATATTTAAAAAAATCAAAATTAATGTAACAAAAATCCATGATGACCAAAGTAAACCACATTTTAAATAAAACAGGATCTGCCCCTACACATGCGTGCTGTTTCCTCAGTGGCCCTCTAATCCTGGCCCTGGTGCCAATACAACTTTATGGATAAAAACATGTTTCCTGCCCAGGGCTATAGTTTGCCAGTCTGAATTTTAAAACCTCCCATACAAATATGATTTATCTTGATTATGTTAGTTTTGGGCTCATTCTTTTAAATTTTTTGCTTTGCTGAGTATCTCCTCTGATCCACAGTCCTGCTGTGTGGAAACAGATTTTGAAGAAATTTAACAAAAAATTCCAAACTCACTGCTGTTAGCCATCTCTTACAGATAGAGCCCCCGTGTGTGTCAGAGTAGAACTGTGCTCCACCGGGTTTTCAGTGGATGAGTTTTCATAAGTAGATCCCACTCGTGGTGCCCCCGTGTATGTGTATCAGAGTAGAACTGTGCCCCACAGGGTTCTCACTGAATGATTTTTCATGAGTTGATACTACTCATGGTGCCCCCTGTGTGTCAGAGTAGAACTGTGCTCACAGGGTTCTCAGTGGATGATTTTTCATAAATAGATTCCACTCATGGTGTCCCCATGTGTGTCAGAGTAG